ATTGCCCCCTTTATCTAAAAATAAAAATTAATAGAAAATATAGCAGGCTTGTTGGTTTTACATAATATAATAGAAAACTTACCAGAAATATTCCCCTAAGGTTCCTTTGACGTTCTGATATGTTTTGGCGTTTCCTCAGAGGATTTCGATCATATAACTTCTTTCACAAATTTCATCATTGCTCGTAACACTTTGCGGAAGTTTCTATGAATAGTCTTTGTAGAGTGCTAAAATCTCCATTTAACCATTCTAAAGCGTTCGTTATGGCCAATAATTATAAAAAAAGTAGCCATCTTCTCCTCAACGGTAACATTCCTACTATCTTGCAACCAATTTTTTTTGTTTAAAATGGTTGCATAATAGTATATATGCATCCCGAGAAAGCCGCATCAATTCAACGCGTTGTGCATTCGATCCGCCTAACAATTCTAGTGTATATGCATGTCCGGTTAAAGCAGAAGTGTTATCTCTTATTCGTTCTATTCTTGATGATAGTTTGTATTTCCAATACCAATAGATGATCATAACTAGCAAAAGTTCTTCCTCAAAATCCATGTATTACCTTGAAAATAACATATATTGCAAACACATGAGAAACACATATATTAAACAAGAAAACTACATAAGCATACCATTCATAACATGTATTAATCCAAAAATAAACATAACATTCATAACATGTTCCAATCCAAAAATAAATATAAATCCAAAACATGTTCCAAAAGATATGTTCGAATCAATAACACGAAGTTTAATCAAAACACGTATCATCCCAAAAGCAAACTGTAATCAAACCTACCAACTAAAGTAGTCCATACTTGCGTTTTGTAAGTCTAATTCAATTCTCACAATTCTCCGGTTCTAAACGCATCCACATTTTCCTATAGTCGGTGCTTTCAACTAAAACAAATAGTGCTACATTATGCAACGGTACACCCCATCCAAGTCCCTCTAGCTTCTTCAAGCAATCATCAATATCATCTTTTGGTGCTCCATGCTTCTCTAGCATAACATTCTTGACCTTCAAAATAGTTTCTTCAAGTTCTACCTTTTTTGAAGCACATGTTTCTTTAGCTTTAGCTTTCCGCTTTTTGCTTTGTACCGGAGGGCGAGAAGAACACTCTTGAGTTGAGGTTAACCCCTCGGTTTCTTGAGTTGAGGGTAGCCCCCCTGTTTCTTGTGTGTCAGGTAGATCTTCATTGAAGTTGGGATCAGAGTCATAAGGATCAGGAATTGTAGATGCAGTTCCATAACTCTCAAACCCAACACTGGCAACCCCATCAAATAGTTGCACACATAGTTCAGGATAAAGCAGTCTGATACTCCCCAACGGTTCCATGTATTTATTCTGTTGTTTTTAAAAAAAAAATTATATCCATATATATAAATATATTATAGAAATTTAATTATGTAAAGAATAAGAAAAAAAGTGACCGGAATTTCTATCTTCCATTCTTTATCGGATAGATTGAATGTGTTGGTCGATGGATTGTAGCCATTGCCCGTTTTGTTTTTCAATTTAGACCAAGCTGCGTATTTTCCCTTAAGATAATTATAGTGATTTTTCATTTGTCGTTGGTCGATAATAATGTTATGTTTTCTTTTCAATGCTTCTCCAACATTCTTCCACGATTGTGACTTAAGACTACTACATTCTCGTCCATTTTTAATTGTCTCGTATATACAAGCTTCAAGAAATATTTGGACCAACCCTTCTTTTTTCCATGTAATCATACGTTTCTTTTGATGCGAAGATTCACCAACTAATTCCATACCTAGTCCAAACAATTTTATAAAGTATAAAATAAATAAAGTTTAGAAAAACTTTGCAAACGTATAAACAAACAATAGCATAAAGTAGCATAGAGTTTGGACAATTACTAACCATAAGCAACCATAACAATTACTAAAGCGACCATAAGCAATTACCAACCATAAGAAACCATAACCAATTAGAGATTCTGATTGCAGAGGGAAGGAAAAATGAGACATATGATTGCAGAGGGAAGGAAAAAGTATGATACTGTACCATGTAATTCCTGTTCCGATAAAAGTTGTAACAAAGAATAGAAAGCAAACAATGGATCTTGATTGTTATGTTTTGAACTTCATCATAGATGGTTGAAGGAGACCCACCACTAACAAATTTTGAACCTTATGAACCAGCAAATCATGCGATAGAAGGGGTTAGGCCTAAGTTTCGAGCCAAAAGTTACAGTCCTGAGCTAAGAGAGTATGTTGATTCTACTTACTTAACTTGATTTCAGTTCCTGAATTTGTATCATATGATTCTACATGCCAACTTTGTTTCATGATTTTTCAGATTGACGGAGCACTGATGGGATGCAGATATAAATAAAAGACCATCATTCTTGGAGATATCGAATAGAATTGAAAAAATCAAAGAAAGGATGGCAGATCACCATTGGCACCACTTTTCATGAACAAACATCACAGGTCTCTCTCTCTCTCTCTCTCTCTCTCACTCTCTCTCTCTCTCTCTCTCTCTCTCTCTTTGTACCTTGTTGTGAATGTATGGAGTTATTTACCATATATTGAACCATATTGGGCTTTTGTTTGTATCCTTATATAATTTTCTTACATAGAAAGCACTGTTCTTATGGATCTTGATTGGTTTTAAACAATAAATATCAAGTCAATAATGTTATTTCAAACATAAATTAATTCATGCTAACTAACATACTGTCCAAAGGAATTAGAGAAGAAACTCGTATATCTTGGCCTTGACAGCTTCATGGCGGTAATTAGAGAAGAAACTCATAAGTGACTACAGAAACATCTACCTAAGGCGGTCAAAAAAAGCATTTCAAACAGCCGCTAAGTTCATCCACAATGTGATTGCAGAGGGAATAAGCATTTCAAACAGCCCCTAAGTTTATCGACATTGTGATTGCAGAGGGAAGTAGGAGACTGAAGGGAAATACCTAAAATTAAGTGGGAGACAATGGAGAAGACGACGGAGACGATGGAGAACACGATCGAGTGGGATGAGGAACGAGGATCTCGCATGGGAGGAGCAGAGCCGCTGGAGACGTGTGAGGGTAATAATGGAACAAGTTAGATCTGAATCGTTGAGTAAAACCCTAGACACAAAATCATTAAGAGGCAATTGTCACCATTAAGATGTTTTTTTTTTTGTCAAACAGTCCCTGCCTCTTACCGATTAAGAGGCTCCCTCTTAATGTCACCATTAAGAGGCAAACAAACAGCCCCTTAGAATCTAACAGTTAATAGGTACAAAACATCATAAAATCCAAAAATATTACAATTGTATTATTATATCACTACAAGAAAAATCCTCATTAGTGACAAAATATTTTTGGTCATTACCAATATAAAAGTTGGTCACTAAGGCCTTTTAGTGACCAAAATTTGGGTGGCCACTTTTCGTTACTAAAGGCCCGTCACTAATTTACATTAGTCACCAAATTCAAAAATAGTCAATAAACGTTAACCGAACAATAAACGTTGGGAATGTTACATGATTGAGGGGTGCTCATTTTGTCATTTGTCAAAGATACTTGTCTCTTATTTGAGACGTCGTCTCTCATCATTCTGAACTAAATGTAGTTGAATGGCTTTCAAGTACTTGGTATAATACATGAGAATTGAAAATATGATAATCTAATAACGGTGTTCTTAAACGTGAATTCTAGCAATTTTATAATTTGTTCCCCATATTAAAACAACTAATCATTGATGCAGACACAAATCCTATTAATATTAATTTAGTATGTAGTTCATCTTCTCTTCTCCTTGTTAGTTCTCTGCACCAACACATAAAATAAATGATAAAATAAGGCAAATAAGAATCAATTGATTCAAGGAATGTCAAAGACTACCAAACATCACAATTATAATTCCGATCGATGACAATCAGACTATATATGTTTGTTAAAGACTTTATTTGGGTTTGTGGTTAGATGCATGTTGTCACCTATCATATATATATAGTTACTTGTATTTGGATGAGGGTTAGAAAATACCTTCTCTATTTAATTTCTTGATCCTACAGTGTAAGTTTCAGCATCAATAAAAATAACGATTGTATATCATTCAAATGAGGGTTGGGAAATACGTTCTCTCTTTAAAATAACGATTGTATAATAATAACATACAAATTTATTTCATATTTGTCGATGTGAATTAATAGTAACATATATACAAATGCAAGTAAATGCAACCATTTTATCCACACCTACAAGTATGAACATTTAGACGTGAACAAATTTCTTCATGAAGCACGAAGGATTTACTTCATCATTTTAACAATTTTAAATACATAAATATAAATGAAAATGTGTAGAATCAATTTGATCAAGTGATAGGGACAACAAGTATAACCACAAAAGTATTAGTGATTTTGATATATAGTTTAGTAACTCGTAGTTACATTATATCGTCAAGTAGGAAAAAATAATCTGAAGCTAGAACTATATATATGCAGAAACTACGTACTATTATATGAATAAGCAAAATATGATTTTAATTAATTTTTTGATACATAAACACACTACTCGTTTTACTTGATAATACACATACATACAAAATCACCGGTGATAATCACGCATATAAAAACATCGACAATTCTTTTTTCTTACAAACATGTTAAGAAATATGTTATGATTTTAGAAATTTATTCCATAATTTGAAAAAAGAAAAGAACTTTACAGTTTCACTTCTATGGTTGGTAATAAAATTAAAAGCTAGAAACTAAAATAAAATTTGAAATTTAGATTGACCAAAAAAACAAGGGCAAAGAATCAAGCCACTTCTGATTTTATTGTTATAAAATTGGGAGAGAATATTTCATGGTTGCTAAAAAAATTGTAAGGAATTGGTATATCATTGAGGTTGACAAATGGTTTTCTCAAATTCAAGACTCCGAACTACTATTTAAAGGCATCATCACCACTTCGAAAAACACAAACAAAAACCAAATAAGTTCCCAAGAAGAGCACAAGATCAATTACTAACTCATGGCCCCTTCCACTTCCTTTTTTTACCGTGACCTCCTCTTCTTCTGTCTTCTTCTTCTCCTTCAAGCCCCACCATGTCCCGCCGCAGGTGGATCATGGTCCGTCCTCCTCCCAAGCATTGGCATCTCCGCCATGCACATGCAGCTACTTCCCAACGACCGTGTTGTCATGTATGACCGCACGGATTTTGGAATCTCCAATATCTCTCTTCCAGATGGCAAATGCCGGCCCAACTCAACCGACTGCTCTGCTCACTCCGTCGAGTATGATATTGCATCGAATTCCATACGTCCACTTATGGTGCTCACTAATGTCTGGTGTTCCTCGGGAACTTTAATGCCCGATGGAAGATTAGTCCAAACTGGTGGTTGGGATGATGGTTATCGTGTTGTCCGCATTTATAAATCATGTGATTCTTGTGATTGGCAAGAGATACCAAAGGGATTGAATCAACAAAGATGGTATGCCACCAATCATATATTGCCCGATGGCAGGCAAATTATTATTGGAGGTCGCAGAGCATTTAACTATGAGTTCTACCCAAAGATGTCAACGACTGAGAACTCACCTAGTTTKCCGTTTCTTGTGCAAACCAATGATCCGAACGTTGAGAATAATTTATACCCATTTGTATTTCTCAATCCCGATGGAAATCTGTTCGTGTTTGCCAACAATCGTGCTATTTTATTGGACTACTCCAAGAACCAAGTTCTCAAGACTTACCCAACAATGCCCGATGGTCAACCAAGAAATTACCCAAGCACGGGCTCTGCAGTACTACTCCCTTTGCGGATAAAAAACGGRACCGTAAATGCTGTTGAAGTCTTGGTTTGCGGGGGTGCACCAAAAGGAGCCTTTGTTAAYGCAAATAATGGGAWATTTGACGGAGCCTTGGATACTTGCGGCCGCATCAAAATATCRGAYCCTAACCCTCAATGGGTCATGGAGACCATGCCTATGGCTCGAGTCATGAGTGACATGTTGTTGCTCCCCAATGCCCAGATTTTGATCATCAATGGCGTATCCGCTGGGGTTGCTGGGTGGGAACTTGGAAGGAACCCAGTTCTCAGCCCTGTAATTTACCATGCAGATAACCAAGCAGGGTCACGATTCGAGGTCCAAAACCCCAGCACGATACCTAGAGTTTACCATTCCACAGCGGTTTTACTACGAGATGGACGTGTTCTTATTGGTGGAAGTAACGCACATGATAAATATGAATTCACAAACGTCCTTTACCCTACCGAATTGAGTTTGGAGGCATTTTCTCCATCTTATTTGGATTCAAACTCATCTGATTTACGCCCAAGAATAATCTTGCCTGTAAGAAACTCTAAAATCCGGTACGGTAACCAGTTGGTTATTGTATTTACCGTGTCTGGCATTGTGGATCCGAGCTCAGTATTTGTGACAATGGTGGCACCTTCGTTCAACACACACTCGTTTTCTATGAATCAAAGATTACTAGTACTTGATGGTGGTGTCGCTAACAAGATTTTGGGAAAGTCAAGGTACCAGGTTGTTGTGACGACGCCACCTTCCGGTAACATTGCTCCGGCAGGGAATTATCTTCTATTTGTGGTTCACAAGGAGATCCCAAGTCCAGGTGTTTGGGTTCAAATGCAGTGATAAAATTTGATAACATATTTGTCGTCATCTTCAATTGTACACTTATTTCTTAATTGGATTTCCTTGTAAAATGACATAAAAATTGATATGTAAAGATTGTTTGATGTGTTATTTTGATTAAATTTCATAAAGAATGAAAAAGATGCATGCAAGTAGAGTGGAAGTCCTATCAAATTATATGCATTCAAGTTTGTAAAACGGCTAGTAGGAACTTTGAAGGAAACCTATTCTCAGCCCTTTAACTTACAAACCAGATCTCCAAATTGGGTACTGATTCAAGGTTTAGAATCCAAGCACAAAACCTAGAATGTACCATTCCACAACCGTTTGTAGAAAGTGCTTTAACCTTCTGACTTGAGTTTGGAGGCCTTTTCGCCTTATTATTTGGATTCAAGCTCCTTTGATTTACGCTAGGATAATCTCACCCATGCCTAAAACTAAGATAAGGTGTGGTAGACGGGTGGCTATTACATTTATGTCTTCACAAACGTGCTATTACATATAAAAATTGATATGTAAAGATTGTTTGATGTGTTATTTAGCATATCGGCCCTGTGAATCAAAATTTTGTCGGTGTCACAATGGTGTCACGATCATTTAACACATTTATTTTCTTTCATTTTCAAGTACTTTTAACTCATTTAACTATTGTCGATAGCCAGATAATCTTTATGATTGTTTGTTGTGTCATTCTAGTGATACGAAAGAGACAACTATAAACATGAATTTACGAAGTCACCTTTAATTATTTACAGTGTCAGAGCTGGTAATTCTTACATCGTCATGTTTTTTTTTGGTTTTGCATATCTAGCTCCTCTTTATTTTCTGTTGAATTTGACAAGCCCAAAAAATAAACAATTCAAATTGTTGGAAGTTTGTGGACAAGGCATAGAACACGAGAATCGGAAATATGATATCCAATAATTTGTTCAACCTATTTTAATATAATTCCTTTCAATTTGTTGCAGCAACCATTGCAGTCAATTGCTTGTTCATTTTAAACTTTTTTCTAGTTGGTAGTTCCTCTTATGATTGTAAATTTTTTTATAAATATAATAAGAATTTTTAGGAGAATTGAAAATTGATAGAATGTCAAACCGTAGGATATATTATAAACATCACCTGATTCCCATGGTATTTATAATTTATTCCAATAATTAATTTTCGGTCGAACAAAATCCATTTAAGCGCAAAATTTCATTGCATATATATAAGCTGAAGTAATTAAACAATGATCATATATTGTTCGCAAAGAGCAACAGAAAAAAGAAAAAGGATACAATGGAAACACAACATATGATGAAAAAGTATGTTATATGTTTTGATGGATAGAATCAATCCCTACTATGGGGACACCAAAAGTGAGGGTTTTCAAAGTTCTCATAAATCATTGAACAATTAACATACTAAAATGCTTGACATCTGAAAACATTTCTGGAATCCTACAATAAGATTACTAAATTAAATGAATGAAGATTTTATATCCTATGTTAATCCCATTTCATCTATGCTTTTTTTTTTTTTAGTAGGATAGATTTGCATTTTTCGCATATAGTTAGCCTTGTTGCATGCATTATTAGACTAATAGCTTTTGGTTTGTTTCTTCGATCATCGTCGATATCTTTTCTTTGACCGGTTGTGGTTCTTGAAAATCTAATTGATATGATTCCCAAACGCTTCATCGTTCTAGAATGGACTACGTTGTTCCGCTTCACATTTGATTATAGAAGTAATAAGTATGGTTTATTTTTGTGTGCGATCCGAAGAGGAAATGGAAAGGCCAGAGGCGGACCTAAATTTTTTTACTATAAGAAACGAAGATATACATATTTTTCACAAAATCATCATTGGTTTGTTGGTTAATTCCTTGTTTTTCGTATATGAGGTCCATGTCAAGTGTCTTTTATTACAAAAAAATTCACAAACATAATAAATCTGAAATTAAAAGCTAAAAACTAAGAAAATAAGCCAAACATGATGCAAACTCGGGCCCAAGATAGGAGAAAAACCATGCAAACAAACTCTACTAAGGAAAACTTGTGTTATTATTGTAGTTTCAAAATATATACGGTTGCACACAACAAAATACGGTGGCACCTTTCATGAGACTATAATTTATTTACACTACATCGGAGGAACGAAACAGTTGCATGTGCTATGTATGCTATAGAGTGGGTCCGCCCCAGGCAAAGGGGATCTTATTCTATACAAATCCGTTAAAAGAATTCTTGATTGATTGATTGTCTTATAATCTAACAGTTAATAGGTATAAAACATCATAAAATCCAAAAATATTACAATTGTATTATTATACTTGTTATATAAAAAGACGACAATGATCATTCACAAATAAACCCGCACAACCTTCAAAACAAACCATAATCTAGCATATGGTCCATCCTTATAAAACATTTAAAGTCTGATTACACTCCCAATCCAAAGTCTTGAGTTTCATAACCACGCCCTACGTTTTGGGCATGCATTTCTCATGACACTATTTGAATCATACCATGTATGCTTTAGAGAGATTCGGGTTCTGATTGACAAAAGTTGTTGAACGAGCTGACGTTTGGTTCTTACCCTCCCTTCACATGGTTGAGATTTGTGTTGGAATGTCACGTTCTTCACATCGAAAGAGAGTCAGTTTGCTAGATGTTCACAGATCAACAACGTCTGATACGTGAGAACAATACTATAATTTAATAAGGATGTTCCTATTACAAATTTCTCTAAAGTTGTTGTAGCTAGAACTACAATTATTGTGTTTGACGAAGCAAACCAAAGTCTTAAATTATTGTGTTGGTGGATCATTCTTTGTTATGTTGTTGTGCGCACCTTGTTTGGATATATACTATTGTTTTCAAAAATAAAATAAACAAAAGATTAGTATTTAAAAGATGGATGGAATGTCAAATACTACCACACCCATGGCTACCAAATAAAACATGTACAGATTGGAGATTTGATTCCATTTAATTTATTATAAAATATAAATTTTAGTTTTTTTGTTTCAATTAATAAATTATTTAAACAAAAAAAATATATACTTATTGGTGGATGCATTTAAAGTGCATACATTATCTATTAATATTGTTATATAACTTGAATTAACTTAAGCATTAGATACAAAATCCATAGAATGTATGTCTTCATTATTGAATTGATTAACAAAGATTGAATTCTTATATAACATTAAAACTATAATTACTATCACTTTATTAACGTTTGATGACACGAATAAAAGCGGGGAAAACTTTGGATAATAGTTTCTTGTAATGGGTGATTACGTGTAGATTTTTCTGGTTCCTGATTCGACTGAAAGTTTGCTAATGGCATGGGGATTGAAACGATGATCGAAAACAAGAAATAGAAAATTGTTTAATTGGATTCCGACAGTTATTTCTAGGCCTTTGTGAGGAATCAAGTTACAGAACGTTCTAAGAAAAAGAGACGCTTATCGATATGAATAAATATGTTTCGTTTTAACAAAATTAATCTATGGGAAGTCCTCGTTTACATGAAGCAAAAAGCAAAAGTTTTCTAATTTCTTTTGCTTTCTGGATCGAGATTTACATGTATAATCTTTGATCTCTTCTTCTAGAAAAAGTTTTCTAATTGCCCTCTGATAATTAATAATCGAAAAAGTAGTTACTTTGATTGTGGACAAGAAGTATTCTTATTTAGATCATTTCGAGGTAACAATTTACATATCAGATAAATAATCAAGCATTTTTGTTAAACAATTTGTTAAGTCAAACATTACATTTTAGATTAGATGGAGAGAAGGGAAGAGATGATATAAATAATAAAAAGTTTAATCGAAATTGATTACATAAATCATTGTCTAAAATCAATAATTAAAGTAATTGAACCCGACACTTCATTTTTCAACAAAGATACCCACAAAACATTAGATGGGAATATTCGAAATTAATTCTCCTTGGAAACTATAAGGTTGGTAGCTAGAGACCATATTCAGCTCGTTGACTTTCTTAACTCTACCAGCGCCTGAACTAGTATTTATCAGAACCACTATCCGGGAGATTAGTCCAGATTGGCGGTTGGGAAGATGGTTATCGCAGGGTCAAATTAATAAATCTTATGGCACATATTGGCAAGAGATACCAAATGGGTTAAATCAATAGAGATAGTATGTAACCAATTAGTTATTGCCTTACGTGCGACAAATTATCGTTGGTGGTCGCCAAGCATTTAACTATGAAGTCTACCCCGAAGAAGTCGGCCAATGAGAACTTCCCCAACTTGCTCTTTTTGGTTCTGACGAATGACCCTGATGTTGAGAACAACTTATACCCATTTGTATTTCTCAATCCTGACAACTTGTTCCTTTTTGCCAATAACCGTGCTATTTTATGGGAGTACTCTAAGAACCAAGTTCTCAAGACCTACCTGGCAATGCACGAAGGTCAACCAAGGAATTATCCGAGCACCGGATTTGCAGTACTACTGCCTTTAAGGCTAAAACAGGGGATAGCAGATGTTGTTGAAGTATTGGTCTGTGGGGGTGCACCCAAAAGAGCATTTCTTGTGGGTGGGAGCAACCCTCACGACAAATATCTGTTCACAAACGTGCTTTATCCTACTGAATGGAGTTTAGAGTCCTTTTTTCCTTCTTATTTGGATTCAAGCTCCTCTGATTTATGCCCCAGGATAATCTCACCCAAGAACTAAGGTCAGGTATGGAAGACGAGTGGCTATTAATTTAGCATATCATTCCACCATGGATCCAAATTTTGTCAGTTTCACAATGATGTCATCATCATTTAACGCACACTTGTTTTCTATGAATCAAAGGTCGTTGGCCTTTGATAGCGGAAACTCTACCAATTGTCACGTGTTCGGGCAAAGACTGCTCCTTCTTTCAATTAAAATGATGGTACTGATTCAGATATGGGATGCTATCACTGAGTTTTGTACATTCTTTCTTGTAATATGCTCAAAAGTGTTACACGTTGCTTCAACTAACGCAACTATAGTTGAAACTATCTTCTATTACACCAGATGAAGATATGCTCAAGGCTTACATATACATTTTGCTTAATTGTAAAGAAATCTTTCCTTTCATATACATGTTCAATTATTGGATTAGACTTAAC